GGAGAAGGACAGACTTCACTTCAACGCTAGAAACTCTGGGTGAGTTTTGAGGCCCAGTGGATTGGGAGACTTTCCATTTTTACCTCTGAGTCAGATTGAATTCACCAAATAGAGACAGTGTATAATTTGCAGGTCCTCTGAGTCTCACAGCCTTTCCAGAAGTTCATTTTGTACTCCAACTGCATTCTACTTACAATCACTCACCTGATTTTATTACTATAATGTGCTCTATGTTGAGCTGCCCATAAAGCGTATTCAGGAGCTGTAGCTGTCCAGAATGGAGTAATATAGACAGTTTGGAGTATTCCACAGTACATTCATTGTTTTGCAAATTACCCAGACTTCCAGGAAGCTTCTGGGTGCAATTCAAGGTGCTGATTATGACCCATAGAGTTCTAAATGGCCTAGATAGGATTATCTGTGACAACCCTGTGGTCACCTGTCACCAGCTGTTTTTGTTCACCCCATCAGAACTGACAGGGCATCTTCTAGTGAGCAATGCAGAAGTTGTGCCTTTTCTTCCACAGTACCTTCTCCCTAGAGATACAGATGGCCCTGACTTTATTGGCAATCCACATGGTGCTGAATATTGTTTATTCCCTTAAGAATTTGTATGGGAGATTTGGCAAGTTTTGCTACTTGATTGATTTTTATGGCTGTTTTTTACTGATTGTAAAATGGAATAATCCTTTGGATCAGACCTCTGGCATATAAATAATATATTATTATTATTGTACTTATTTTTTATTCTGCTTGTTTGATTTTGTTTGACATTCCTGTTCACCATTCCGAGTCAAAGTAGTGAGATGAATAGACTTAGAAATCGTTTATATAAATAAATGTTTAAGTAAAGACTAGGCTGAAGCGGTCAGACCTAAAGATGATGATGACACAGTGACAAAAGCCAGGAAAAACCTCCCTCAGGGAAAGTAGTTAAGGAAGAACCAAGTCATTAAGGAAACAAAGGAAAAAAAGGTCACCTGGATCAGCAAAAGAAATTGTCCCTGGGAAACCCCTCCCCAAGTCCCATCACCAAAACAAGGCAAGGATTTTGGAGGATCAAAGGGATCCTCAAGCCTGCCCATTCTCTGAATCCTCTTTGGATCCAGACTGGCTTCCATTCCATAAAGTTTGCTATTATTTTAAACTCACTGGGTCTCTGTGTGTTCTAAAAAATCAGTTGGGCCTCAGTGTTCTGTTGAAAGTGATTTGAGTGTGGCAGTTGTCCAGGGCTGTGAGTGAATTAATATAAGCCAAACCCAGAAGCAGGTGTGTGTTAACACTATAAAAAGTTAGCACCCACCCATCTCCTAGAAGAGTGAAATATTTTAGGAAATATCAAAAAAGACAGAATATCATATTTCCCTGGATGATAAAAGGAGAAACATGTTTTAAAGAGAGAAAATAGCTCCCCGCCCCCAGCAGATATTTGGTGCCCATTAAGAAAGACTGGGCCAGCCTATCTACAAAACAAAGGACCTCCAGCTCCAGGATGATGGGATTATCCTTCAGGGCAAAGCCATTCAGCCACAATAGGAACTGCACAACAAATCCCTTCATTGCATCAGCCCAAGCTTCAACCAAACCTGGGAGCTCAGACAACCTCAGCTATGACCCCTGCATAGCCCCATGGGAGTCTGATAGCAACCAATAGAATACATGCTCTTGCCACAGGAACAGGAAGCTCAAGGACAAGGCCCAAGAGAAGGTATAAATAACCCTCACTCTCCACTCCATGTGTTCAGCTGCCCAGGACCTCAAACCCATGTGGTCCTGTACATCAATAAACCATCTTTCCAATCAGCCTCCATGTTTCCAGTGTCTTTCTCCCTGCTTGCAACTGAATCAGATGGATATTTCTTCCAACAACACTTTGTTGGTTGGTTTATTTTTCTGGCTGTTGTTTTTTATTGATTGTAAAATGGAATGATCCATATGATCAGACCTCTGGCATACAGGTAGTCTTTGACTTACAACAGTTTATTTAGTGACCATTCAAAGTTACAACGGCACTGAAAAAAGTGAGTTATGACTGTTTTTCACACTTCTAACCGTTGTAGCACCCCCATAGTCACATGATCAAAATTAAAATTCTTGGCAACTGGTTCATATTTATGACGGTTGCAGTGGGGTCATGTGATCAGCTTCTGCTACTTTCTGACAAGCAAAGTCAATGGGGAATCCAGATTCACTTAACCCCCATGTCACTAACTTAACAAATGCAATGATTCATTTAACAACTGTGGCAAGAAAAGCCATAAAATGGTGTAAAACTCACTTAACAAATGTTTCACTTAGCAGCATAAATTTTGGGTTCAATTATGGTTGTAACTCCAGGACAACCTGTATATTATTATTGTACATTTTTTTATTCTGTTTGGTTTTGTTTTACATTCCTGTTCACCACTCTGAGTCATAGTAATGAGACAGGTAAACATAGAAATTGTTTATATAAATAAATACTTAAGTAAATCAGTGTAGGCAACCTAGCACTATCTTTCTGCCCAGGTAATACCAACAGTAGAAAGCAAAGCCATGGAAAAGCCGTTGTTGGCAGGAACAGATGAAAACTTTTAATATGCTATTTGGCACAGCACCAGCCTCAGCCAGTGAAAGGAATTTAGCAAATTCTAGCTCATCTATAAAGCCCTACATGGCACAAAGTTCTGGTTGGGTGAGCAAAAACAGCTAGGGTTTGTCTGTCTCTAGCTGTTTTTGCTCACCCAGCCAAAACTAATTGGGCTCCTTCTTTTAATCTGTATCATTAGACCATGTTCCATAAGAACAGTCAATAAGATTTCTAAGACATGATGAACAACTTGCGAGAAAAGCCCATAGAGCAAATAAATGTAATTTATGTACCTTCAAGTCAATCTTGACTCCTAGGAACTGCCTAGATTACACCCTGCAGATTTTTCAGAAATGGCCTCTTTCTAGGAGAATGGCTGGCCTACCCAAGGTAATCCAGCTACCTTGGTGCCTAAGGCAGGACTAGAACGCAGGGTCTTTCGTTTCTCACATAGCACCTTAAGCACTACATTTTAAGGCTGAGTCTGAGGTCCAAAAATCCTTTTCTAGAAAGCTCCAAGAGGGGCATGATAACAATGAAGCAACCAATTGAGTGGGAGGAACTAAGGACTCTCAGCCCATCCAACTCTCAACTACATCAAGAGGGAATTGAGATCATCCCTTAGCAATTTGTCTAGTATAAATACTTTCCTTGGGTTGATTAATTGCAATAGAAAGGAAATCTTTTTTTCAGACCTTCTAACTTTACAAGATCTTTTTGCCCAAGAAGTTGGAAGGTCTGATTGCACTTTTTTTAAACTGGCAGTCTCATGGTCTTCTTTTGTTGCCCTGCACCAGTGGTGAAATCCTGCCGGTTCTGTCTGGCTTGCATGAGCGGGTAGCATCGTTGGCGTGTGGTTAAGTGAACCAGTAGCAGTGGCAGTGCGAGGCTCTGCCCACCTGCTTGGACATCGTTACTTCCTGGTTTTTAACCCTCTGCGCATGCGCAAAGCCTTCTGCGTATGCGCAGAGGGTCAAAAATCAGACATGATGATGGTGCACGCGCACTTCCAAACCGGTAGGGAAGGTAGTAGATTTCACCCCTGCCCTGCACGCAGGAGAACATTGGAAAGCAGGTTAGTGAGAGAATTGTGGTGGCTCTGAGGTGAGAGTGAGGATTTTGCATTATGATTGCTCATAAGTAAGTAAGAACCAATAAAAGAGGAATGGAAAAATCCCTATCTGTAGATGAGCGCATCTCAGTCTTGGCAAGTTTAAGATGGGCGAACTTGATGCTGCCTGGAGAATTCTGGGAATTGAAGTCCATGCACCTTAAAGTTGCCAAAGTTGAGAAGCATAGGTCTAGGCTAGAGTTTACTATTTTCCATTCCTGTTTTATTTAGAGTTTGGTGCAATTAAATAAATCAGTTGTACTTTCCTTAACAAATAGTGATTAAAGCGATATGAACCATTACTGGACTTTTTGTGAAAAACTGAAATTAAATTTGATCTGGGACTTTGATGATTAGATATAGGATTATGGAAATAATGTAAAATGTTAATCTTAGAGTAAGAATTTGATATATTTTTTACTTATATCTGTACCAAAGAAAGTTGGAAGTCATTCTTTTTCAGTTTTCCTTCTTTACCTCTTTCTTTCTTATACTTTCACTCTTTTTCTTTCCTGGGCCTTTCCTTTTTTCAAATCTGGTTTTTATTTGTTTATCATTTAGCTTTGTATTTTTTTGATGTATGAAGGATAAAATACTCAGCCATTATAATTCTACATTTCTTATTTAAAGAAATCATACCAAAATTTAGAATGAAATCCACTGGGAGCCATCTCATGTAAGGCTCTGAGTCCCTCTAACCAAAAAGTGTTTATCGATAGAAGAGAATATTTATAGCTCAGGGTTGAACTGTGGGGTCCTTGGTACTCTCTGAGCTTGATAGTTTTCTTGCAGATGTTTCATTACCAAACTAGGTAACATCATCAGTACTAGAAGGGAGTGGAGTTTGCTTTTATTTTCATATACTAGTGGCTTACCCTGTCAGTGTGGATCAGTTGCTTCACAAAAAGTGTTTTGATTGGTGCCGGGTCTCTACAGCCTCAGGCAGAGAAGGGCTATTCTGCACCCCTCCCTCAAATGTTCTTTGAAATACAGAGTTTCCCAGCATTCCTTTAGGAACCTCCAACATGCAAACTGTGGTTACTCATCCTAAAATGAATCCTGTTTACCTGGAGATTCAAAATTTGCTGTTTGCTGGGAAGGTGTGTAGCTAAAAATCAGTCTACATTTAGTCTTTGACTTTGGGAATATTTCTTCTTAACCAAACAAAAGTGTATTTTCTGTGCAGTTCACACCCCTTCCTTGCTGGGTCTGGATGTCACAAAGCAACACGGTTCAGGAAATGGAATCTCTATACCAGTTAAAATGAAATTTTACAAAAAGTATTAGTAGGGGAAAAGAACAGCATTACAGAACACCTACTGGCTAGCTTTGCTTTCTCTGCATAGCTGGTAGTCAGATCTTCATCGACAGGGTGCTCCACAGGACCTATCATGGGGATCAAGTGGCGCTCTGCTCGAATTGTCCTAGTTGCATGTGGAAGGAGCATAGCTTCAGGAGCATCCTCCATCTCTTCAGATAACGATGGATGTAACAAAACTTCTCTCTCTGAGAAAGGTGCATCAGTGTAATTTTCTGTGTGAAATACAATCTCCCTCTTAGCCACTCCACCAAGCCCTTCTCCTTCTCCACCTCGTGCCACCACTTCAGGTGTGCTGTCATAGCCACTCTGCTCAGAGACTTCATCCTGTGGCTCACCCACTTTGTTATTTGGTCCCCCTGGGGGGGAACGGGGAGTCTTCTTGCGAGCTCTCCGATGCTTTTCTTGGGTGATGTTATCAGCATCACTGTCTGTCTCAGCATAGTATGCTTCACTGTTTGGTGGGGAGGTCACGTTCTCCAAGAGCTGCTGCCGCTGGGACTGCTCAGTTTCTGGGGCACTCTGGGGCTCTCCTATTTCAGAACGGTGTCCCTGGGAGGCTCGGTTTAGTGGAGAAGTGAGTGAGGCAGCTTGCAATTGCTTAGGAGAAGGGGAGCGCAGTAATCTTGCCCCAGACAGATCTCTGGTCGTTGCCCTGGAGAGATCAGAAAAGGAAGAGAATTTTAATCAGTTGTGTAGTTACAAGATCCACTTCTCATACATTACTTTTTTGTATCTGTTCATCCTACTGGCTGCTGAGATGAAACTATAAGGATTCCCTTTTGACGTTCCACCTTTGATACTTTCCAGAAGTTAGACTGTGTTCTACAGCTGCCTTCATTTCAAGGTCCTTTTCTATGAATCTCTGGGCCCTCTGCTGTCCATTTTGATTAATTACTTGGATGGGAGGAGCACACTTTTACGAGTATGCTCCTAAAAGATACCCTCCCATAGACATAAGAGCTGCATTCACTATCAAACCTGTGAGATGCACGCACATACACACCGCACATGTGAACTGCTTAAAATGACCTTGTAATAAAACATTCACAGCAAGCTGAACTGACCTGAGTAGTGATGAGGGAAGGAACAGTCAGGGACCTGTGGCACAGCAAACCAAAAAGTGTGTACTGTATATGCATTGTCTCTCAAAGACAGTATGGCAGGCTAACCAGGTAGGAAGGGATGAACAATAAAAAAAAAAACCACTCAGATGGGTTTGCTGTAGCTAAAGCATTCCAGTGTCTTGCTGTAATTTTCACTGAATCAGAATCAGAATAGAGCTGGAAGGGACCTTGGAGGTCTCCTAATTCAACCCCCTTCTCAAGCAAGAGACCCTACACCATTTCAGACAAATGCTGTCCAGCCTCTTCTTAAAATCCTCCAGTGATGGAGCAACCACAACTTCTGAAGGCAAGTTGTTCCACTGGATTATCATTCTCACTGTTAGGAAGTTTCTTCTTAATTCCAGGTTGTTTCTCTCCTGCATGTTGTATCTTCAGAGTGTTTTAGTTGATTTAGGTGAGATATTTTTAAAAGGTACATAAAGAGGTGGCTAATTCTTTAGATAAAAGCAAGAAGATTCAGAAATATCTAGACAGGTCTGAGCAATGCACTGAACTGAAAAGAATGGAATGCAACTGAGATAAATGTAAAGCTCTGCATCCAGATGGAAAATATAAGGCTTAAGTGTAGAATAGAATAGAATAGAATAGAATAGAATAGAATAGAATAGAATAGAATAGAATAGAATAGAATAGAATAGAATAGAATAGAAGCTGGAAGGGACCTTGGAGATGTTCTAGTCCATCCCCCGCTCAAGCAGGGGAGACCCTATACCAGTGATGACTAACCTTTTTGCCATCGCATGCTAGGAGAGAGGGGGCGGGGGAGGTTCACACACACGTGTGTCCACACCCAAACTTCTATGAGCCCTGCCCTGCGCATGCGCGCGCAACCCCCCATCCCCCCTGCTTCTGGCATGCGATGGCCTGGTAGGTTTGTTTTTCTTTCTTACCTGGCTTCAGATCCTCTCTATGCATCTGGGAAGGGTGAAAGCAGCCTTTCCACTCCCTCGGAGGCCCTCTGGAGGCCTGAAAGGGCCCATTTTCCAACTCCCGGTAGGACAGGAAGTGACTTTTTTGCTGTCCCCAGCCTTGGGGACAGCAAAAAAGTCACTTCCGGTCCCACCGGGAGTTGGGAAATGGGCCCTTTCAGGCCTCCAGAGGGCCTCCGAGGGAGTGGAAAGGCTGCTTTCGCCCTCCCTAGACTCATAGAGAGGATCTGGAGCCAGATAAGAAAGAAAAACGGGCCTTCCCCACCCCCATCCCCCAGGCCCTCCGGAGACAGGAAACAGCCTGTTTCCTTACTTCTGGTGGGTCCAGAAGGCCTGAAAATCAGCTGGCCGGTGCACATGTGTGCGCCAGACTGAACTGGCGTGCCCACTGATATGGCTACGCATGCCATGCACGGGTCCATAGGTTTGCCATCACGGCCCTATACCATTTCAGACAAGTGGCTGTCCGGTCTCTTCTTTAAAACACCTCTGGTGATGCCCTTAATTCCAGGTTGCTTCTCTCCTTGATTAGTTTCCAACCATTGTTTCTTGTCCTACTCTCTGGTATTTTGGAGAAAAATTAGACCACCACTGTTAAGTAGAGTGAATGAGGACACAGAACCAGGTTGTGAGTAACAACAGCTCTTTGCTTCATGGTGTGAATCCAGCGATTGATACAGGGAAACAGCTCTCTTTATATACCTTACAGTCCTAGCAGTTAGCCAATCAGCTGAAAGCAATTAACATTCAAACTTTCCAGCCAAACTATATACATTACACCCCTCCCTTCCCAGAAGGCACTTGGGATACACATTTGCATACAAAATCACACAGATGACCAGGTCATGTCTGGACCCTAGTAGAACTGTGCAGTTCAGTCTGAGGCGTGGCGTCGAGCAGGTTGGAGGGGCCTTCTGTTTCTCCCGGCTCTGCCAATGGAACCTCCTGGATTTCTCTGGGGGCGTTGACTTCTTGGGTTGGTCTTGATTCCTCGGACTGGCGGCTCCAGACACCGAAGTCTTCAGATAAGTCCTCCGCTTGTCTCGGGCTTGAGCTAGCTGTTGGAAGTGGTTGGTAGTTAGGGACCAGATCATCAGGCATGATTTCTGGTTCGGCGACTACCTTTTTTCGTAGCTGATCTATGTGCCTTCACCATATTCTCCCATCTCCCATGTCTACCGTGTAAGACTTGGGACCGGTTGTATCCGTAATTGTCCTTGCTACCATAGGGGCCCGGCTGCGTAGTTCCTAGCATACACTGGTGTCCCTATCTGGAACTCCCTCAGTTTCTTGTCAGATCCCTTGAAACTGTCGGGGGAATAGTTAGGGTGTAACCTGTCTAGTATGCATCTGAGTTTCTGACCCATTAGCAGTTCAGCCGGGCTGTGCCCGGTGGCGGTGCATGGTGTGGCATGTTGGGTCGCCAGGAACTTGTCTACCCTAGCTTGCCAGTCCCCAGGGCCTAATCGTGAGAGTGCTTCCTTAGCCGTTCTCACAAACCTTTCAGCCAGTCCATTACTGGCCGGATGAAATGGAGCAGTGTGTGTGGCAGTGAATTGGGGCCCGTTATCTGATACAAGTGTGTCCGGTAACCCATGGGTGGCGAATAGCTTCCTGAGCACCCTGATTACTGCGTCAGTGGTAGTGGATTTCATTAGCCTGATCTCGAGCCATTTCGAGTAGGCGTCGACTATGACCAGGAAGATTTGGCTGTGACAAGGGCCAGCAAAATCTACATGGATTCTTGACCAGGGACCCTGGGGACGTTCCCATTCTTTTACTGGTGCTGTGGGGGGATCTGGCCTGGACTCTTGGCAGGGTTGACACTTCCCCACCCACTCAGTGATGTCGTTGTCCATTTGTGGCCACCATACATAACTCCTGGCCAGCCCCTTCATCCTTACAATCCCCGGGTGTCCCTCATGCAACAACCGTAAAACTTTTTTCTTTAGAAAAAAGGGAACAAGGACCCGATCACCCCACAATAAGCAACCCCCTTGCATGGCTAATTCGTCATGTTTGTTGATAAAACTTTTGAATTCCCCGCCTTCAGTCTTTCCCAGCCACCCCCTCGTGACCCAACTCATGACTGTCTTTAACACATGGTCTCTGGCAGAGGCTCTCGCCACTTCCGCAGAAGTGAGAGGCCCCGAGTCCAACGTGTCGATGAGTAAGACTGGAACTCCAGGTGTGGGGTCTTCTATGATGTCCAGTAGTGGGCAGCGGCTGAGAGTGTCGGCATGTCCCAAACTCAGTCCTGGTTGGTGTACCAGGCGATATGAATATGCCACTAGGAAGATTGCCCAGCGTGTCATCTGGGGAGACAAGGTAGCAGGTGTGGGTCAGTCCCCTGCCAGGAGGCCCAAAAGCGGCCGATGGTCTGTGACGAGGTCGAAGTCCTGGCCAAATATTCGTGGAACTTTTTAACCCTGGATACGGCTGCTAGGGCCTCTCTGTCCAGTTGGCTGTAGTTCCGCTCAGCGCTGGACAGGGTGCGGGAATAGTAAGCAATGGGCGCCTCTAGTCCATTCGGTAGTCTGTGGCTCAAGACGGACCCTACTCCAAAAGAGGATGCATCGCAGACTAACACAAGGGGAAGCATGGCGTTGTATTGTATAAGAAAACTTTCTGCAGATACAAGTTTCTTTACAGCAGCAAATGCAGTAGACTCCGCTTTTCCCCAGACCCATGGTGTATTCTTTGCCAACAGCCTGTGCAGGGGTTCCGCTACTGTTGCCTTGTCCCTCAGGAAAATGGCGTAGAAATTTAGAAGGCCCAAAAACGCCTGTAGTTCTGCCTTGTTCTTGGGGGTGGGTGCCTCTCGAATTGCTCTGATTTTACTTTCGATGGGGTGAATGCCAGTTCCGTCTACCCAGTACCCCAGGAATTCCACAGAGGGGACTGTGATCATGCATTTGTTGCATTTGGCTCTGAGGCCAGCACTCCTGAATTTTGTTAGCACTTCCCTCAGTCTGTCTCCCAATTGTTGCTCATCTGCTGTGGTGATGAGGACATCATCGAAATAGGGGACTACCCCTGGCAGACCCTGCAGCAGCCGCTCCATTGTGCTCTGAAATAGCCCTGGAGCTATACTGACACCAAATTGGAGCCTAGTACATTTGAAGGCACCTCTGTGAGTTACGATAGTCTGTGCCTCTGGGTAGCGCCATCTACCAGCAGCTGCTGGTAGGCCTGCGCAAGATCGAGTTTTGCGAAAATCTTGCCAGGGCCCAGGGAATGGAGCAAATGGTGCACAATAGGTACCGGATAAGCGCTCTGTTGGAGAGCCTTATTAATTGTGCATTTATAATCTGCACAGATGCGCACAGACCCGTCAGGCTTTTTTTTTTTTTAATTTGATTTATATGCCACCCTTCTCCGGAGACTCAGGGCGGCTTACAATGCGCTAAGCAATAGCCTTCATTCTTTTGTATATTTATACAAAGTCAGCTTATTGCCCCCACAACTGGGTCCTCAATTTACCTACCTTAGAAAGGATGGAAGGCTGAGTCAACCTTGAGCCTTGGCGAGATTCGAACCTGCAGTAATTGCAGGCAGCTGGTCTTAATAACCAGCTTAATAACAGGGTGCCTTAGACC